CTCCCGCTGCGGAGCACAGGCTCCGGACGCGCAGGCTCAGCGGCCATGGCTCACGGGCCCAGCCGCTCTGCGGCATGTGGGACCTTCCCGGACCAGGGCTCGAACCTGTGTCCCCTGCATTGGCAGGTGGATTCTGAATCAATGCTCCACCAGGGAAGTCCCTCTACTTACTTCTTATATGTCAGCCCCACACCTGTCCCCAGTGTTCAAAAAGCCAATGCTCCAATTGTTCCCAAACCTTCAAGCTAAAACTTTTTTTTTTTTTGCGATTGTGGAAAAGAAGAACAACACGTCACTGCAGTCTGCCCAGGAGCACAGGCTCCGGACGCGCAGGCTCAGCGGCCATGGCTCACGGGCCCAGCCGCTCCGCGGCATGTGGGATCCTCCCGGACCGGGGCACGAACCCGTGTCCCCTGCATCGGCAGGCGGACTCTCAACCACTGCGCCACCACGGAAGCCCCAATATATATACATTCTAAGTAATATAGGATGGTAACTGAAAGAGAAAGATTAAAAAACAGGAAGCTGGAGTAAAATACGACTTTTTGTTCGAACAGACCCTTTGCTGCCACCTGCTGGAGAACTCTCGGAATAAATATCCACTTTTGCCACCAATTGTTGGAGGCCGTGAAGCCATAACTGAGATGCGTTACAGTGGAAATGAGAAGCACTCCTCTGAATCAGGAAGGTGCCGGTGCCTCCTTAGAGCGGGTGTTCTCGCGGTCAGGGAGCCCGTAAGTCTCCCCGCTCCTACTGCCTGGCCTGGACCAATCGTGAAGAAAGAAAGAGTCGGACCGAGGAGGACCAGACGGCGGGCGTGAAACGAGCACCCAGATGTAGACCCCGCCACGCCCTGGTTCCCTGGCGGGCCGCGAAGGCTGTCCGAGGGTGGGAAGCGCCGCCGGCCCAGAGAGGGTCAGGGCAAACCCGTGTTTGCACCGTCTCTGTCCAGTGGCCTCAGATCAGGCCATCGGAGAAGCCCCTGTCCTCTCCAGGATGGTGGGGGGAGGCGCATTTCCCAGCCTCTGCCCTCCTTTTCACCTTGGCTGTGGTCCCTCAGGGTGTGGCTGCCCCTGGGGGGGGGAGTGGGCGCTCAAGACCCCAACCCATCGGCCCACTCCCCTCTTTGCAGGGCCCTTGTCCAGCACTCACGGCCCCTTGGTGCCCCCTGGGAACCCTCCGGCTCTGAAATGTATCAGGGTGGGGACACGGGTGAAAGCAGCTGGGATTCTGGCAGGTCTGCTCGTGGTCTGGCCTTCCGTCAGGAGTCTCAGGGTGGCAACTGTGTCCCATGCAGACGTTCCCACCTGCTACCCGTCCGTGCTCACTGGCTGGAGCGTCTCTGCAGAAAGAAACTCCTGTCTCCTACTGTTTGGTTACCCAGTGTCCCTGTTTGTGTAGCAAAAGCAGGATAAATGCTTGATTTTTTTTTTTTCAATTTAATAGTTCTCCAAATCTTGGATACTTAAGTCGCTTCCAATTTTTCACAATTACTCCCTTCTTTCCTTTTTTTGCTATTGAGGTAAAATACACACGCCGTAAAAGTTATCACCTGAGCCATTTCTTAACGAGTACAGTTAAGTGGCATTAGGTGTATTCGTGACCATAACCCTTCATCTTGTAAACAGAAACAGTATCCATGGAACCACAACTCTCCCCCTGCCCCCAGCCCTGGCACCACCCTTCTACTTTCTGTCTCTATAATTTTGACGACTCCAGGTGCCTCATATGAGTGGAATCCTGCAGTCTTGTCTTTTTGAGACTGGCTGACCTCACTGAGCAGTTTGTCGTCCAGTTTCATCCATGGTGGTAGCACATGTCATAACTGCCTTCCTCTTTAAGGCTGAATAATGTCCCATCGTATGTACAGACCACAGTTTGCTTATTCACACATCCATCCGTGGACACTTGGGTTGCTCCCATGTTTTAGCTATTCTGAATAATGCTGCATTGAACATGGGTGTACAAATATCTATTCGAGTCCTTGCTTTCAATTGTTTTGTGTATACACCTGGAAGTGGAATTGCTGGATCATGTGGTGATTATAGTTTTAACTTTTTCAGGACCCTCCATACTGTTTCCGCAGCAGTTGTACCATTTTACATTCGCACCAAAGGGCACAAGGGTTCCATTACTCCACACCCTCACCAGCACTTGTTATTTTCTGTTTCTCTCATAGTAGCCGTGCAGACGGATGTGAGGAGGTATCTCGTTGTAGTTTTGATTTGCATTTCCCTAATGATTAGTGGTGTTGAGCACATTTTTGTGTACTTATTGGCCATTTGAATATCTTTGGAGAAATGTCTATTCAAGTCCTTTGCCCATTATTGAATTGGGTTGTTTGTTTTGTAGCTGTTGAGTTTTAGGAATTCTCTGTAAATTCTGAATAATAATCAGGTATATGATTTGCAAATGTTTTCTCCCATTCTGCGGGTTGCCTTTTTACTCTGAGGACAGTGTCTTTGGATAAACAAAATTTTCATAACGTCTTATTTGTCTTTTTTCTTCTTTTGTTGCCTGTGCCTTTGGTGTCATACCTGAGAAGTCACTGCCAAATCAAAAGTCATGCATTCTCGGGCTTCCCTGGTGGCGCAGTGGTTGAGAGTCTGCCTGCCGATGCAGGGGACACGGGTTCGTGCCCTGGTCCGGGAAGATCCCACGTGCCGCCATGGGTGAATCTCAAAATAATTATGCTGAATGAAAGAACCCAGACAACAGGGCTTCCCTGGTGGCGCAGTGGTTGAGAGTCCGCCTGCCGATGCAGAAGACACGGGTTCATGCCCCGGTCCGGGAAGATCCCACATGCCGCGAAGCGGCTGGGCACGTGAGCCATGGCCGCTGAGTCATGCACTCTTTTATTCAATGATTTATTCTAAGTGTTTTATAGTTTTAGGTCTTAAAATTAAATCTTTGAACCACTTTGAGTTAATTTTTGCCTCCCCTGCCTCATGCCAGGCCCTCTGCCAGCAGCGTGCGTGGTCCCCAAAGGGCTCAGCCTGGACCCACAGGCTCAGCTTCATGCCAGGGGGCAGCACTGCCTCAGTCCCTGAAGGATGGACCCCCCCCATATGTGCCAGGGGCTCTGGCCCCGTCTGGCTGCATCTCAGTCCATTCCTAGACTGGAGGGGGCCCAGCAGCCTGACCAGGAGGTGCCTGCTGGCAGCACGAGTGTGACAATCACTGGGTTTCCAGAACTTCTGGGCACCCCTGTTGCTCCCTGACTGGGGTCAGCTGTTTTGACAATAAAATCTGTAATATTATGTGGTCACCCAGGGACCTTGCAGAGCCAGGCTAATAAACAGCAGACAGACCCCTTAGAAACAGGGGAAAGAGAAACCCGTCTGCCGTAGCAGTGTGGGTGAGGAATATCCCGTCACATATCAGTAAACAAAGTATGTTGCGGCGACCCACACCCTGCCACGGCGCGTCCTGAGGAGACTCAGGATAAGAAAGCACAGGATACAGCCCCAGGTAGCCGAGGGAGGTGCAGGTCAAAGGAGTTTCAGTGAGCCGGACTCTTGCATCTTCCCGTACGTAGAAGAGCGCTAAATTCCTTAACTTGAGATGTCTGGGTTTCTTTAATGAACAGTAATCTTTTGATGTTCCGACTACCTGATCTTTGTTGCTGAAACTGCCGTGTATCTCGGCCCCTCCCTGACCTCTTTGGAGCAGAACCTCAGAGCCATCTGAGAGGCTGTCCTCCGGGCGCAAGTCCTCGGTTTTGTCTGCCAGAGAAAACATGCTTCTCAGCTTTTCCATTGTGCGCTCTTTTCAGTCAACAGCAGGCTCAGCAGTTCCCAGCCCAGATCGGCCTGAGGCCACACAGGCCCCAGCCGGTGGCCTTCCCGCCCACATCTTTGTAAAAGATCCCTTTGTTACACACGCCTCACCTCCCCTGCTTCATGTCAGGACTCCAGACCGCAGACACACTGTATTTCCACTCCTTTAAGGGTCAATTTTGACATGAATATTTAACAAAGTGCAGAATCAATCAAAATCCACCTCCTCGTCCTGAAAAATACTAAGGCATTAAAGTGTTTTAACCAGGTGTGCTTCTACTTTACATGTTACTGATGTCTGATACAATTTTAAATCCACCGTTTCTTTCTCATTTTAACCTCTACTTGTCACAGTACATGAATATCTCACCCGTTGGAAGTAACTTGGGTTACGTGCTGTGAAATAAAACATATTTTATGGCAAGACAAGAAACTTTTAAACAAAAAGTCTCTGCCCGTTGGCCCCCTCTCCCCGCACCATGAATCAAGTATCTGCGTTACTCACCGACCAGAACTCCCCAGAGGCAGAAATACCTGCTCGACCGTAAAAAGCAACATTCTCCCAGCATCAACAAGACAGCTCCCTAAAAGATAACATTCCTCCTCCATCTTGTAGGGGGCACATGACCCACCAGGATGACGCTTGGACCTGGATTGTGTAAACTGTCAATAATACATCATTTGATGTGCTGTCTCAAAAAACTTATATAAACTGTGTCTTGACTTCTAACCAGGGAACAGTTTCTCAGAGTTTTCTGAGATGTTCTTTCTGGGTTATAATCCTCAAATTTGGCTCAAATAAAATTTTCCATTTCTTTCTGAGATCAACTGATTAATTTTTCATCAATAGCGGTTTACTTCCAACTTTACCTTCTGTCCAAGAATGCCGCAAATTGGCCACGTCTCCTTGGGCACGTGTGAGATTTCTCATTGTAGAGACCTATTTGTGAAAAAGCCAGATCACAGGGGTTGATTTTAAGTAGGTTTTGGCTGATGGGTTCCCCAGGCCCTCCTGAGTCTCCTCGACCCCCTCCAACCCCTCAGCCCCAGGCATCAGATGAGCTGCTTGCCATCACTGTAGGTTACTGTGCGTTGCCCAGAACTTTACATAAATGGGATCAAACAATGTGTGCTCTTTTGTTGTCTGGGTTCTTTCTTTTCTTTTTTTTTTTTTTGCGGTACGCGGGCCTCTCATTGTCATGGCCTCTTCCGTTGCGTAGCACAGGCTCCGGACGCGCAGGCTCAGCGGCCATGGCTCACGGGCCCAGCCGCTCCGCGGCATGTGGGATCCTCCCGGACCGGGGCACGAACCCGCGTCCCCCGCATCGGCAGGCGGACTCTGAACCACTGCGCCACCAGGGAAGCCCTGTTGTCTGGGTTCTTTCATTCAGCATGATTATTTTGAGACTCACCCATGGCGTTGCAGGCATCAGTGTCTCACTTCTTTTTATCACTGAGCTGTTTTACATGGTGTGGTTAGAGCACAATTGGTTCATCCACCAACTAGTTGATAAACATCTGGTTACCCTCCAGTTTGGGGCTATTACAAATAAAGCTGCTATGACTAGCCAAGTCTCTGCGTGGACACATTGCTCTCTGCTGGGTAAATACCTAGGACTGTGGCTGAACCATTTTACCTTCCCGACAGCTTCATCTAAGAGCTCCCGTGGTCCCACATCTTCACCAACACTTGATGTGGTCAGTGTTTTTATTTTAGGTTTTCTAGTGGGTGTGTAATGTTCCCTCATCATAGTTTTAATTTTTATTCCCCGATGACTAGTGAAGTTGAGCATCTTTCCTTGTGCCATTCACCATCCCTATATCTTCATGGGTGAAGTGTCTGTTCAAAACTTTTGCCCATTTTCAAACTGGTCTGTTTTCTTTTACTGAGTATTGAGAGTTCTTGCCTTGTGGGGTCTTAGTTCCCCGATCAGGAATTGAATCCAGGCCCTCAACAGTGAAAGCAGAGACTCCTAACCACTGGACTGCCAGGGAATTCCCATAAATTCTTAATTTTGATGAAATCTAACCTATCAATTTTTTCTTCTATTGATCATGCTTTTAGTGTTACGTCTAAGAAATCTTTGCTTAACCCAAAAATCACAAATACTTTTCTCATATATTTTGTTTTAGATTTTTATTTTTATTTATT